GTTTTGAGACAACCCCACTTTCGACTGAAGGAAAGCTCCATATGGGGCGGAATCTTATAGGGATGCCCTGAGAACTAAAAGCCCTTGCAAATGACTAAGTTTTACATTTAAAAGGTAAGCAAAGCAGCGAGAAGTCAGATACACTTCATCACAAAACTCTCTTTGTTCTTTCAACACTGTCTTTCAGCTGCACAAAGTAATGGATTCCTTGTAAACATCTGCTCAGAGCCAGGCAGCAATCCTCACCAAAGCGGAGCACAGCCACGAGAGAGAGTTACAGGGTTCGGACAAGCAAAGTCTGCTGCCGCCAAAAACACAATTTCTCCATTTTTCATGGCTGTTAAAAGACTCAAACCATAAAGGCAACATGAGCCAGGTAAATGTCTGACTGAAATGATTTACAGGCCAACGTTGCACAATAAATCCAAGTAATATGTAACAAAAGGCATCTATAAACCACAAGGTACTTAACTAATTTTCTTTCATATACAAAAGCAAGCTTAGGTCAAATACTGATAAAAATGAATGGGATGAAGGAAAACATCTATCTAGTTTAGATGTTGGGGTGGCAGGGAAGGGTTGGGTTTTTTCTGTTTCTTTATAAGCAGAAGTTAATATAAATCTGCAGAAATACCTGGCTTAATCACTACAATTGCTTGAGGAGGTGCCTGCAGCGCAATGAAGACAAGTCCAGACAAAATAAGGTACACACGCTATGCAAAACTAATGTCTGCTCCAAATGCTATGTGGTACAACCACCACCCAAGATGCTACTGATCTGCAGTACGGTATTTAGTAAAATAATGAAGAAAAAATTAAAAACAACAACTGGAAAGGTGAAAATAAGAAGGCAAGGACTGATATATACTGGGAGGGAGGTGGTGGAGGAGAGCATGCGTTGGACAATTAGCAGAAGGAAAGCAGTGGGTCTGAGGAACACACTTCCATGCTTAAAAGCAGGCAAATGGTTTGGAAAAAAAAAAAGATAAAATCATCAACGAAACCTGAGACTAAAATGAAAACAAATTCTGTAACTTGTATGACACAGACACCACCATCTCCCTTAGCAGGATCCTCTCTGGCAGAAAAAGCACAGCTCTCTTGCAATTTAGCACACTGCAGCACCACCGAGTCTGTAATAGTTTTTCAATTGGACACATTCTCCTGTATACCCTGCCTGGGGCTGCTCGGGAGAAAATGAACAGATTTGCAGGGTTAATATTGTAGTTAGGCTGGGACCTCATTCAGCAGAGCTGCGATAGCGCTGGCTGCATGAAACGGTAGAAGAATGTGTAGTATAAACATCACTGCCAGGATAGGAGAGGTTGGACAACTGTGGGCATTTTACAAGGCAAAAATCCCCACAAAACATAAGAAAAAGGAACTAGTTTCCAAATCCAAGCCATAACCAGGGTGCCATTTACACAGTTAACCTACTAAAACTCCCAAGAAATAAAAATGCTTTATAATAAAACCTTTTCCTATCTTATTTCACCCTCCTCCTTTTCAACACTTCCTCTCCAAGTTACCTACATTTATTGTGGCTCACAAAACAATGTCCATCTTCTCAATGTTTAGATATTAAGCACAATAATGCTAATCTTGCTCCAGCCCTAGCTCACAAAGCACATTTCTCTGGATGAAACCAGTTCACTACCATTTTGTAAACCCCTTTGAAATTAGGCAATGGTATTTCTACTGCAGTTGTCCCCAAGAAATTAAAACAGAAATGAGATTCAGAGAACCAGGTACTTAAAAAAACCAAGCTTCTTTTAGGTGGCACACCTCTATAGCACAGTCACAGCTCAGAAGGTTACCATCCAATGGGTACAGCATCTAAGAGATCAGAGTCATATCATTGCATTAGTTAAATCAGTGGTTTACTTCAGCTATGGGAAGGATAAGACAGGGGCAATCAGATTCTCTGAAGAAACACATGGCTTGAGCTGGATTATTGCAAACATGGAAGCGAACAAGCTTTGGTAAAAAGTAGTTAAAATGAGGCACTGCTGGTAAATTTAGTGTCTACCACCTAATGTGATTGCAAATATAATTCCTTAGAAAGGATTACTGGAGGAGAGAAGGGAGCCATAGAAACTAAACTCAATGGGATCCATCAAGCTATCTAGAGCAGCTGACAAGAAGAAGAATCAAAAAGCACTTCAGAAGCCTGCCTTCATCTCAGGCAGGTGACACATGCACCCAGGAATGGGTTCAGAGCTCAGCCACGGCAGTTCCCACAGGGGAGACCACAGAGGTTGCTGTCTGCCTCAGGAACTGCATCAGCTTCGTTCATGAGTGGGACACAGAGCATGGCTAGCACCTGCACAGGCCAGATGGGCAGCAACTTTTCTGACCTGTCAACAGCCTGTTTGCCACTTGGTAGCTTTTCTTCTCAAACATTTTAATATTTATCTTACAAAAAATATTAAATAAGAGCAGGAAATCCATGGTTTTACAACAGTTCCTGCGAACCAAAATACTTTGAATATCCTGTAAAACATGTATCATTATTACTATTCAAAGACGATGCTCTCCCCAATAACTTTTCATAAAAATTAGTTGCCATGTCCACTCAGAATGAATGTATTATTGAAATTATGTACCCAAAGGTGCCAAAATCCATGTGCTAGTCAGGTTAAAGTCATTTAGGTTGTCTAAAACTTCAGTTTTGGTCCAGAGCACAAAACCACTGCTCTGTTAGAACAGTCTGGGGCTCCTCCACTTTCTCACTGATACCTGAAGGAGTCTTTCCACAACAAGCAGTTCATAGGTGCAGGTCTTCCAAGTACATCTGAAACTGCTTCACATTTTATGCTCTAGGCAAACCCTCCTGTAGACTCAACAGAAGTGAAAGCAGCCCTGCCTGAACTACTCCTCCTGCGATTTACAAAAATCCTTATGATTTAGAAGTCTTTCTACCAGAAGGAAATGAGAATCATGGAGAAGAGCTTTCAGACCTCTTCTCCTTACTGCTTTTTTCTTCTATACCATCTTCTCCCCAATTCCATTCAAGAACATTGTTAAAGAATAAGCCTTTCTACCTGGATTGAAAAAAACACAGTAGCTGCAGGGCTGAGATGTGCGCTTATGCATCTGGTCTACCAAACAATAAGATAGAAACCATGTCAATTTTTTGGTAGCAAGTGGAAGAAATATGAGATGTCTGATGAACCTGAGTCATTACAATGTGCTAAGTGCACAAAAATCAAAGGAACAGGAGGCTTACTCCTCCCCTCAAAATATTAGCTCTGGTGTCAGAAGTGTTATTTACACTGTGTAAAGTCATCCCGGTTCCCTTCTTAAGACAGAAACCTTGGCAAAACCCATGTCACTACAAGACAACCCCAGCTCACATATAGAAGGGCCGACATTCAAGTACAAACCATCTGCTTGACTCAGTGGACTGTGGGGATCATTTTAGGTTGCAGGTCAAGACACTGTTGGCTGGAGTTATTACAGCCAATACCTTCCCTGTCAGCCAGCCCAGGTCAAGCAGGAGTGTGTGTGTATATGTATATGCTACTCAATAATAGTTACTAGATAGTCCCTGTCACAGCCCAAGCAATTATTACTGCTGAGAAACTCAAATTTACATATTTCAAACTCTCTTGGATTTTTGGGGGAGGAGGTGAGAACAAGCTTGTCTTATCTATTCTAGACATTAGAAACAATAATCATGCAGTAGTTTATCCTAAAGCATCAAGTCAGTCTGTACTCATTATCCTTTTTTCACAATAGAAAGTCATGACAAGGATGTTTCTCCTCACAAAAGCTTAGGGCCCAGGAACACCTGGAAACAGCAGTTAGCGTATTCACATCAGCCACCTCCAGCAGAGGAGTCACCTCTGAACACATACATCCCACTGTATGGGGAATGAATCCAAACAGCAAACAAACTTCAGAAGTTGTCAACAAATCCCTTTCCCTTCAGTATGAAGCATGAATCAGTTAAGTGTCATGGACAGCTATGTGCCCAGACTCTGAAATAAAGAGCAGGCTGATGCTTTGGGTTACCTGTGGGATGGGAGAAAGCCCAGCTTACCCTCATCCAAACCGGGAACAGATTTGGCTCCTGCACAAGTGTCCCCATTTTGAAGATGCCTTTTTTCAAAACAAACATTTCATTAAAGATTAAAAAAATAATCATGATCATGTCTCACCACAATGCTTAAACAAGTACCCCCTGCTTTTTTCAGTTCAGCAAAAACACTTGCCACAACAAAGAGGCTGGAGAAAGAATTTATTCAACATAAACAATATCAGTACAGTACAAACAACACCTCTGGAAGGTGTAGCAAGCAGGCAGAGATACAGAGCTACATGTCCAGGAAGCCCAGGTGCTTGTCCTGCTGGAGGGAGTAAGTCCCACCCCGGACACCTTTATGGGCTGGTGATGCCCTCACACCAAATTCTCTGGCTATGGCCCTGGCACGTGGCATCCACAGATGACACCAGGTTGTGCTGGCTCCTCAGATAGAGCCCTGCAAGGTGGTCAGAGACGACCACGTGCACAACACAGAGCACACAAACTGCATTTTGGTCTCAAGGTGTGCATGCCAACATGGTGCTTTCTCTTCACCTTCGTTTTGAAGAACCCAGAAGCACAAAGAAGTTGCCCAGATCTTTCTCAGTAAGTCTTTACACGTGAACACATCCATGTCTTTTCTTCTGCTTCTTCACCCTTACACCAATGGCTCGTAACTCCCTGAGGACATGGCTGGGTTTTACTGCTGCCACTGGGTCTGCAAAACAAAGAAATAGCCCATTGTTTTCCCCAGCGAAATATGGCAATTGCACTGTCATGTTTTGCCTTTCATCAACATAATCCAACTGCCCTTTCTCTCACAGCTGCAAGTTTTAGGATCACTGACTCTGAACACTAGGAATTAT